TTCTTTCGCTTACAGCAGGAAACTTTTCTTCAGCTCTCTGCAGTACAATTCTTGCCACTCTTGTTGCAAGAGAATCCAAAATCTTTTGTAACCTTGAAACCTGTTCATCACATGATAAATATCTTGTGGGGTTCATTGTAATTAGCTTACAAGAGTCCTAGTAACTTAAATTCTTGGTTCTAAGAAGTGTACCCGCAACTAACTGCGAACAGTTCCGTGACTCCCCAAGGATTTTTGCTGCTACAGAATTTCTCTCAGAGACAGACAGATGGAGGTGAGAAAGACACTTGCAATTCCTGCCTATCTGTGATATCTGCCTAACACTGGACATACAGAAGCATACAGCTCACCTCAGGTTCAGCCTTTATCTCCTGAAATGTTATTCGCCCAGGATCCACTTCCTCTCCTGCATCTGAGACTGCCTCAGCTTTTATATTCATGGCCTGGCTTGCATCATGACTTGCTGGGTATGTCTCACCATAGGGAGCCACTAAAACCTTCTCTGAATTTGTACAGTTCTGTAAAGGCATCACATCTTCTATCAGTCATGGCTGTACAACACCACACATGAAACAATATATGCTCTCCTTGCTGTGGCTGTTTCTCATTACATGTAACCCATAACAGCTGCTCTGTACAGATTTGTTCTCTACAAACTTCATAATCTTAGGAAGTGTTAAGTTCATAATATAGGCACCTTCCTGAGAAACCTATGGTCTCTGTGGAAGTACAGACAATACGTATCTGCTCTTTATGGAACCTAAGCACTCATTACTGTGTTCACACATGCTCCTCATAACTTTGCATCCTGACACAAACCCAGTCCAAAACCCCATAACTGTATCTTTAACAAAATCCATCTTCACAATTGTCTCCCAAGTGGTCTCATTCTTTCAGGCCTTCTGTCAAAATTTTTGTATGCATTTCTCATTCTCACATGCATGCAACATGACCTACCCATATCGTGATCTGAACAGCTGTTCATAGGACCTAAACCAGCTTGAAGCATCTCAATTGGAGTTGCCAAAAAAGCGATCAGGGCTGGACTGATAGAAATCATAAAAAATACTGGGAATCCATAATTGGACTCAGGCAGGCAAAGGGTTTTACAGCAGGACCCTCTGCCAGAAGAACGAAGATCTGTTGAGATTTAACAGAGATCAATTAAGATCGGCAGTAGGATTACTTACTGGACACTACCACCTGATAGGACAGCTTTTCAAGTTGGGATTGACAGACAACCCAAACTGTTAAAGGTGCCTACAAGAAAATGAATCAGCCACACACATTCTGTGTGATTGTGAGGCCATAGCTTATTTAAGATTTTGTCCTACACTTTATTAAAAGTATAGGATTAATAAAGGGCTAATCCAAGGGGAAGCACAATAGATCTTTGAAGGTCGCAGTACGGTGTCCAGTCTTTATGGCCCACCCCTTACATACATACATACCCATATCACTCTCCTTGAATTGGTCCTTCTCCCACATAACAATGCAAAGTGTTACAATATGAAGAACCATGTAAACTCCCCAGATGGATCATGAACACTAACACAAACATGGCATAAAAAGTTTAGTTTCCTAAGATATGAGGACTGATTATGATAAAATTCTTGTCTGTGCACACAAGCACAAAACACTCACCATCCTTTCTGTCACAGCAGGAAATGTTTCTTCAGCGCTCTGTAGCAGAATTCTCGGCATTCCTGTTCCAAGCGAATGTAGAATCTTTCATAACCTTGAAACTTTATTTTATCACACATGATGCTTTGTGGGAGGCAAATGAATTCATTTACATGAATCCTAGTGATATAGCATCATATTTCTAACAAGTATACCAGTACCTTACTCTGAATACTTGCCCAAGTCTGTAAGGAAACATACTAATTATTGTGATCATACATACACCAACGCGGACTACTTTGTTCTCACACAAGAGGCCGGGAGAGATTACTGAAGCTTGGTGTCTTATTACACGTTGTGTAGGGTACGGCCTGAGTGCAGCGGAGCGTCGACAACTTATGGCAGGGACAGCAGCGGGCCGCTACTGCGTCCTCAGTGCACCTCTAGCGTTCAGCGTTTATATCCTCAAAAGACATCTTCCAAACGCTCCAAACGCTACTGAAACACAAACTGGTTTGACATGCACGATAATACAGCACGCTGCCCGCTCCGCTCAAAACGCTCGGTCCCAGAGCACGCGAATATATTCGAACGGGTTTGTGATGCACGCTGCACGCCCCGCCCCAAGCCCTGCTGCACTCAGGCCGTACCCTAACAGATTGTTGCTCTGTTCTGAAGGCAGCTCGTTCACCCAGTTTGAGGGAACCTCTTGCTTCCTAAACGTGGGTAACTGGCTACCAGACTACACGGAGTTACTTCCTAGAAACAGCAACAGTTGTCCTGCAACTTCAATCAGTTCAATATAGACCACCAGCTCTGACGACTTCCTTTAAAAGTTGGATTGGAATGTGTAATAAGGGAGAAAGGGCATAAAACAGTAAAATTGTGCGTTCTACTGGTAAAATCACCCTCAGAATGGGCTTTGCGAAGTTTAGCAGAATACCAATTAGAACTTGCAACTGCGGAATATATCACGAAAACAATAATTTGTAAAATTGTGAGGAAACTTAACTTCTCTCGAATGATCCTAATGATTCCCTTATTAATACCCAAAACTTACAAACTCTCATTATAAACTTAATATTCGGTACCGAACGGTACAGACGATGCAAGACTTTATTCTACTTGTGGGGATTGTGGTCACTTGTGGTCGCTCGTGGTCATGGTCGTCATGGTACCATAGCCGACACTAAGGGGTCAGAGAGGACAGTGCAATGAACGGGCTGGTGAGCATGTAGTACTAATTCTGCTCAGCAGAGGGATCTGCCAAAAAACCCGTTTGTCATGTCGCCTAGGCCGGTTGGCATTGCCTAGGCGTATTTTATAATTATAATTATTTTTTCCTCACAAAAAAAAATCATCTGTCGCCATTCTCACGAAAATTACAAATTCGGAACAGATTTTTTTTACTTCAATATTGGGTGTTAAGATTTGGACGTTGTTTTTCTTTTTTTTTTAATATAATGTCAATAGCACCAACAACGACTTCTCGGAAGAAATCATTACTCTTTCTGTCCTTAAAATGTTTCATTATGGACCTATATATTGAAATGGGCGAGAACTTTTAAACGGAATCTGAGGCCTAAAAGAAATACTGAAAGAGCCCGAGAAGCGCAGTCGATATAACGGCACAGGAAACTCCAACCCTTTTCTACAAAGATCACTGTCTTCTGGGATTCAAGTCGAGTAATTTGGTAGACTACACGGCGTCACTTTTTTATTCTAACCCTAAAGATGGAGAGTTCAGATTCCTCCTTGCAGATATCTAACAGACTACACGGCTAACATCCCATTTTCTGCCCTGAAGAAGGAGGCCCCGAAACGTTTCCAGATACGTGTGAGACACCCCGCTCTTCTACAACAAACATGGAAGACTGGAAATTCCTCCGAAACTAAACTGCACGAGGTCACAATCACTATTCTATTCTGAAAAAGGAAGAAAGATGTTCCTCCGAAACGCTGACACCTATGTACCGAACAGTATGGCGTCAGAATCCTAGAAGACGGCAGTCTTAATGAGAATCTCTCTGAGTCGCGATTCGCAGTCTATACGATCAGGGAAAGAGTGACATACAGAACGGCTTTAATGAAGGCCATGTCTTTCATTTGTGTTCGTTAATTTAAAATAAAGGCTTAAAAATGCGTGATGTAGCAAGCGGCAAGTGCAACAGTTCGGAAGGTCTTAATGGTCTTCATGGTGAAGTCAGATAGGTTTGCTGAGACAGAGAGAGAATGCCCACACGGTGGATACTAACTTAATCGAAATGTGAAGCACAATAGATCATTGAAGGTCACGGTGCGAAGTCCGGTTTTATGGTTCACCCCTCATACTCATACTCACTCACAATGGTAAATATCTGCTTTGGCTGTATAATATTCATTCCCTCTAAGCTCTATGCTAAATGGCGTGTAAAAGGTCGGTCCATATATGACAGTAAAACTGGCTTTTTCTGTACAATTGGTGTTTACACAGGAAAATGTATGGAACCGGAAGATACTGGTGGACCACTCAGGGACTAAGTTATTTTTAAATTTTTAAATTTAAATTGATTGAGAACAAAGGGCATGTTGCCTGTTATGGTAAAGCAAGTGTCACATAACTTCGTACAAGGCCAAGAGTAACCTTGAATGTGCAGAAGAAAAATATCAGACAAAGGGGTGGGTTCGAGGGCATGAGAAGGGACAGGGGTCCAGTTGTTTGTGCCTTGCAAACAACTGGCTGCCTGTCACTTCTCCAACCCACCCCCTTGACTGAAATTTTTCTTCTGCGCATTCATGGTTACTCTTGGCCTTGTTTGAAGTTACGTGACACTTGCTATAGCTTACTTTCTCTCCCTGCCTTTTTACAGAAACTGAGAACAAACAGCACAGGTGCATATGACACTTTGAGGGAAAATAGAAAAGGCCTTCCTATCGACCCAGAGCCATGAACATTTAATATAAGAAAGGGGGATGAGCCAAGATTTGGGTGAATACAATGAACATGATTATATATTCTTGGCGAGAGGCAAGGCTAATGAATCTGCTCTTGGCTATGCATAATAGTGGAACTGAATTACTGAAAGTACAATCTAGGGGCACGTGGTAGTGTATAAGCAGGCCGATACTTTTTGGCCGGTGTCCTTCACTGTCAGCACATGAGAGCGAGTCTATGCTACGAACTTACTTCGTCTGCAGAGAGAACATTCGTAGGCTGGCTGTTTGTGAGGTTGGAAGTTGCTCTCCGACTGCAGGATGAATTTAACTGGAACTTCAGTCCTATCAGTCACAATTCAGGTTTTTTAACATCCTATTATGATGAACTAATTTACTCATAGTATGCTGCACTACACTAGCAACGTTAAATTAAAATACGCATAAACCTAACACAATACTAATTATTCGTCTAACAGTTCCACTCCAGACAAGTCACTGTTTTCACTGAGTTCAGTTGTATCATTATCACTGGAGTCGCTGTCACTGCTGTCTTCAGAACGTCGGATGATAATTCTTTCTATAGTGTTCTCTCTAATTCCCTCTTTTTTGATATATTCCTTTTCATTTTTTTTTGTGCGGTCGCAGACTTTTCCCCAATTCTCTGTTCCAAATCCACTGAACCATTTCTCACAAATCTTTGCCACGTCATCCAAATGAAATGAGACATTTTCTGCCCCTACTGACTGCTTAACATCAGCCCAAACGAGTTCAATCGGATTCAAGTCTGGATGATAAGGTGGAAGTCGTAATACCGTGTGTCCATATGCAACCATTATGTTGTCCATTACAAAGTTTTTGTGGAGGGGTTTATGTGTCTTTATCAGGTCATAGAGCTGAATTTTCAGCATTCTGTCATGAAATGGCACCTTGTTCACTGTAAGCCACTCCATCATCTTGGCCTTCATGGTCTGGCTGGTTGGCGCCTTATTAAATTGCATGGTGTGATATGGGGCATTATCTACAACAAGAACTGATTTTGGAGGCAAATTCGGAATAAGTTTTTCTGTTAGCCACTTCTGATAATTTGTCACGTTCATTTCGCTATGATAGTCCCCGGTCTTGAGATGAGATTTAAATATCAACAATGACCCGGGAATGAAGCCGGTTCTGCCTCCCGCGTACACAATAATCAGCCTCTGGCCTTTCGATACGGGTGCCATGTACCCCGATGGAGTGTCATCTGTCCAGTTTTTAGGTCTGGTGTGACTGCTGTGAATGAAGGTCTCGTCCTCATAAATTATAGTCTGACCTTCCTCCCTGTACTTCTTTATTGCACACAAATATGCTACTCTCTTTGACCTAATGTCCCTCTCGATCAAGGCGCCCCTGTTATTTCGCGTTTTCTTCCATTTAAAACCCATCTTCCATAAAATCAATTTCAGGCTGGTACTACCTCCCTTGAAATTTATGGTTTCCCTGAGTTTTGTAAGTAGTTTCCTCACAGTAGGCAGTTTCTTCTTGGGTGTAGAAATCATATGCTGTCCGTCGAATCACGGATATATCGAAATCATCTGGATTTGTTATCTGTTTAGGTACAGAATAGTGTTTACCGGGAGTTCCAAACATAGCACCTTCTTTTTCACATCGAGAACCTTCATTCAGAATTGTCCGTAAACTTCTTTCTGAAACTCCGGTTGACCTGACTATTCTCGCTTGTACCTTCCTTAACGGTATCAATACATGACTTTTCATAAATGAATGGATGTTATTACAAACTCTCGGGTCTGGCTGTGCAATGTTTGTTATCAAGTTTTGACTGAATAGGTGCCATTTGTTTTCTATTTAAATGTGTTACTGCCCTAAAAGAAATATATCAGTTAAAAACAAGCAAGTGGCACATGGGAAAAGCACACAATATCTACTAATAACAGCGATCCTGCAAGCTCAACGTCTACCTTCTTACTGAGGCAACATAGTGTCGCTGCACATGCTCACCAACCTTAGGCTCGCCGACTTGCGTCAGACCACTACGCATCAGAGATCCACCGGCCAAAATCCGCCATCCCACCTATAACTGGTCGAGACACTATACTACAAGCTGGAAAGTTGCAGGTTTGGTTCCCATTTAGTTTATTGGATTTTTTTAATTGACCTAATCTCTCTGGCCCCACTATGTGCCTGGAGTTGAGTCAGCCTCTAACAGAAATGGCTACCAAGAATCTTCCTTGGGGGTGAAGGGCGGCCAGCGTGTAAGGCTGACGACGTCACCGCCATCAGTGAGACGATTCTATAGAAAATGTGTGAAACTCGATGTTTAAGGAAAGGTAATATGAATTTCACACTGTACATAAACCCAGATTGGTGGCACATTACATGACACATATGAATGCAACAGATTTCATCAAATACCTCCAGTTACAGGTAGCACATAAGAATTTAAAGGTGCCATTTTCTGTGTTATTTTATGATAGAAACAGCCTTTATAAGTGGGAGAATCACTGACATCCAATGAGAGAGGAAGAAAATTTGATGAATTAGAGAATCACTGACAGTATCTACTGAGAGGGGAAGAAAATTTGATGACCACTTCCCAAAGCTCAACTGAGTGAATGTCACTTCATTTGACAACTTGATGGTAAATCTCATGTGAATGTTGTTTGCTCCACGAGGTCATCACAATACAAATACAAAGGAAAGAAGGACTGTAGGAGGTAGACTTCATTTTTCTGTCCAGGAGAGCCTGCAACATGTACCATCCCTTGTTTTGAGAGATACTGCATGGCCAGAGACTACAGAATGATCTGCAAGTGTTGGCATGATGTGTACATGCATAACCGATGGCAATGGTGTAAGAAAGCAAATATTATGTTTCTGGACATTATTCATTGTCATGTTTTTAGTTGAAACATGTTTTGGAGGTAAGTACCATCTCTGTTGATTGGGCCCAACAGTAGGTTATTCCTTAACACAATGGACATCATCATTGGATTTCATCATGTGCACAACACAGAAGAACAAGCCACAAAACAGCAAGAGATATTACAGGAGGGACAGGAGGAAATAAAGACCATGATGAGTGTTAAGATAAGCACACAGGAAACACGAGAGAGCAGAAACAACCTAGGAAAGAAGAAACATACATCAACTGTGATGCTGCTGATAATCATCATCACTACTGCATGGATGAATGGGAATGAGTTGTATATTTTTCGAGGAAGTTTCGGAAACTAGGTGTATCTACTTTATGTAATGGAATATTTGATGAAACCGTTATAGTACAAAGATTCTTTGAAAACTCGGAGGCATTTCCTGATTTCGGTGAACTGGAGGATGACTTTTCAAACAACAATCGCTGTCTACTTTCCGTGATAATTTCTCTGTTTACACAGCATCTATGTTTAGCTGTATTGCAGTGTTGTTGCACCGTAAAACATTTGTCTGCCGTAACTTTCACTTCACACATTTTGCAAAATAAAATTTCTCCATCAGTACTAAAATATTTCTCACCAAACTCTTTAATAAAATCACGCAACTTCACGCTATATGAGCACTTGACTTTAGGCATCTTGAAACTATACTGAACAACTGAAGTTATGAATACAGTACTGTATTGGACGGGTTTCGGGGAGAGGGTAGAAATTTACCGCTTTGTGGATGGAAAAAATTTTCACCAATATGCAAGAAACAAATTGGACTTCAGGTATCACTGCAGTGGAGGAGAAAGAGAGACACAGACAGACAGAGGCAGAGGTGGCAATTCATCTTTTCAAAGTGGTTGATTCTACGCCAGGTCAAGAACCGTTACCCTTCACACTGTACAGTATTCCTTCAAATCCCGTTACACAAGGCCAAATATTTCTAAGAAATGAAGTTCCAAATAACATCTTTGCCAATACTTGCAAATATATTTCTGAGCAATAAGTGAAACTCGCCTAAAATATGACAAAAAATATGATTTTATATCACTTCGGGCCCAGTAATGACCTAAAGCTAAAATATGGTTCAAACATGCATTTATATGACCAATAAAACCCGTATTTTCATGTTCACAGGAGTCAGAAATGTGTTTATATTTAATTATACATGTGAAAAGATGCAAGGATAAAAATATGACATGTCATAGAAATCCGAGCCCTAGTAATCATGTATTGGACAATAATCAATATGGTTTCAGACCTAATCCATCTACAGAAAAAGCATCTTTCAAATTAATAGAGGAAATACTAAAAGCAATGAATAATAGACACTTGGTTGGAGGAATATTTTGCGACTAAAACAAGGCCTTTGATTGTGTCAATCATGGTATACTTATAAAAAAATTAGAGTTTTTTTTTTGAATAACTGGCAAGTGTGGTGCCTTAATTAAATCTTACCTGAATGGAAGATATCAAAGAGTAACCCTTGGCCCTAACAGTTCTATTAATATCTCGTCTAGTTGGGCAGACGTAAAATTTGATGTACCCCAAGGTTCAAACCTTGACCCTCTTATTTTCCTCTTGTATATGAATAATATAACTAAGCTTTCAATTAATGGAACAAACATATTCTTATATGCAGACGATACAAGTATAATAGTGACTAATCCGGAATACGCGCTACTACAAATCAACCATGACCAGAATATTTTGCAATATTAATACATGGTTCAGAACCAATCTGTTAACGCGTTCCAAAAGTGTCTGATGTTTCCGCGCAAATCTTGCAATGATCGATCAAGAGCCTCGAGCGATTTTTTGTGCGCCATTGTGCATTCATCCCAAACAATAAGTTTGCATTTCTGCAATACCCTTCACATGCCTGATCCTCTGGAAATGTTGCACGTGGGAGAGTCAATGAATTGCATGTTCAATGGCAATTCCAAAGCGGAATGAGCAGTTCTTCCACCCGGTAGCAATGTCGCAGCTATTCCGGACGACGCAAGTGCTAAGGCTATGTCATTTTGGGATCGAATTGTTGCCAGAATCAATCTAATTAGGAACGTATTACCAGTTCCTCCTGGCGCATCTAAGAAGAAGATTCCTGCAACCCCGTTATTGACAGTTTGCATGATTTGATCTTATATGCCTTTTTGCTCAAGCGTTCGCTTAGGAATATTTGATTACACATACGACAAAAGATCACCCGTGTTGTAATTTTGTTCACGACGCAATTCTACATTGAACGAAGCAGCAGCAGATCAATTCGGTGATAGCATTCCCAATTGATTAAGAACTTTGATCGCGATTTCTAAGCACAAATCTTCAATCATTATCAAAGCCTCGTTGTAGATTTCTGCTGTGAAATCCATGTTCATATTCGAATTATCCTTGTGCATTCGAAGGAAGATATTTTCAGCCATGTGCTGCTTTGTTGATTCCGCGATTTCTACGCAACGACCCATTGTTATTGCGTTGTCTCCGTGGGAACGCTCCGTGTATTCGTCGTAACCATGGAGATTCGATACAGTATCGCTATTGCTTTTTCCTATGCAACGGTCTGTTCTAGCGTTTCCATGGGGGTCACACTTCTTAATTCCAAATTCCCATTCCTGTTTTCAAAAGACACCTGTTTTCACCTGTCACAGGTGTGACACCTATATAATGGGTATATAAAAACACGCGCGTGTTCGAATGCAACGTTGTATCAAAATTTCAAAGCAATCGGTGAAGAACTTTCGGAGATCCTCGAGGGCTAACAAACCAACATTTACATTTTTATTTATATAGATTTCGGAGTGATGCAGGTTTTGCTTCCGTGTGAAGCTTGAATCGTGAAACAACTGATTTAGCACAATGATCCCTTCCCAACTCCCGGAGGCTCCTCGGTCCACAAGTCAACTCCCTAAATTTCGAGGATTGGTCATTTTTGAAAAATCGGAGTACCTTATTTAATTATTCCCCAAATCCGTTTAGGGATTACAGGGAATTTAGGATCCGAAGATTTAACGTAAATCCTGTCAGTAGCTTGACAAATGTTAAGCTTGGCTTGGGGTTGAAAGACAACCCAACTTTAAGTTACGATTTTCAAAACTCTCATGTATCGTATTTTCAAAGGACGCCAACAAGCAAAATTTTGTGTAACTTTCGAAAGGACCAAGATGCGGGTGGCCTTCCTGTTTCGCTTCGCATCTGCGTTGACCAGTCGTGTTTCTTTTGTCTTTTTCATTCGAGAGTTTGGGCTAAACTCCTTCTTGAGAGCAAGAAATAACCAATGTACCTCTCGTCCATTTACTGTATGTTACAAGTAAACCAAACTGAAAGTGTTAATTTACATGGATCAAAACATGCTACTAAATCAAATCAAGCTGGGTGTGGCAGATCGGTTATATTATGAAGCTCCTCATTATGAAGTTTTCTCCAACCTCCTGTCCCTTCATCCCTCTTCGGTCCAAATACTTTCCTCAAACAACCTGTTCTCAAATTCTCTCAGTCTATGTTCCTCC